GAGAAGTCAAGAGTTTAAAGCTATCTACGTTTCTATGGAAACAGAGACAATAATGAGGTATTTCCAAAAGCACACACCACATCCAGTTTCAAGTATTTGCCAAGTATTTAGACTGCTCCCAGTTATTTAAGTGCTTGAGTTCTTAATGATCTTTTATGTATTTTCCTTATACTAATCTATTCAAATATTATACAAATATTGAGAAATTAAATTCTGTGTCCCAGTATCCCAAAAAAGCCTGTAGCTGAACAGGAATCTGTATCTTTCAAGTTCAGCTCGAATCACTGCATCATTGTTTCTTTTCTGTCATGAAGGTACTGGACCCCTGGATAAAAATAAGTTGTCCTGCGTCTTACTCTCGTCATTGCTTTAAAAACTGAACACTTACATGACCTTATTTCTCATCTCTTTCAATGCAGAAATTGGGGCACTCATGTGCATTTCTCTTCACCAAATCACATGCCCCCTACTTTGCAAAAATACTAATTTTGAGGAAGTCAACAGCGTTGCTCTCTGCTCTCATCGACCCTCTTTTTACACTGTTAGCAGCTAGGTGTGCATGTGCCTGGACCTGCCTTTTCAGCATGTAAACATCCTTGTCTCCGGATCTGCTGGCACATTCGGTGAGCATTGGCAACGCAAGGTTTGTGAGGATTTTTTAAAAATGATTAATGATGGGATATAAAAGCAAGAAAGCTAAGAATTGTACCTTAGGCAGACATTCAAACCAGCCAATTCAGTACCAGCTGCAGATCAGCTCTTGTTATCATCAGTTCTTCCCACAAGGAAGTTTAATGAAAAAATAGAAAATTTCACGTTCCAACTAAAGAGATTCAAATGGTTTATGCCTATGACCTTCAACAGGAGAGAAAAACATTCAAAGTTGTGATTTTAAGAGGCCATGTGACATGATCAGTAGGGTGGGGTGGCCAAAGTTTTGATGAGCAAGAGATGAAGTCCAAGAATGTGCCTACAGAAGAGTCACGAAGCACATTCTGTGTGCCCAGGCCAACCTCATGAAGTTTAACAAGGCCAAGGGCGAGGTCCTGCCCCTGGGTCGGGGCAATCCCACGCACAGACACAGGCTGGGGGATGAGCGGGTTGAGAGCAGCCCTGGGGAGAAGGACTTGGGGGTGCTGGGGGATGAAAAGCTGGGCATGAGCCAGCAGTGTGCGCTCAGAGCCAGAGAGCAAATCGCCTCCTGGGCTGCACCCAGAGCAGCGGGGCAGCAGGGCGAGGGAGGGGATTCTGCTCCTCTGCTCTGCCCTGGTGAGACTCCCCCTGGTGAGACCCCCTCTGCAGGGCTGCCTCCAGCTCGGGGGCCCCCAGCGTAAGAAAGACATGGAGTGAGTCCAGAGGAGGGCTCCAAGATGGTCAGAGGGTTGGAACACCTTTCCTACAAGGACAGGCTGAGAGCGTTGGGCTTGTTCAGCCTGGAAAGGAGAAGGCTCTGGGCAGACCTTCTAGCGGCCTTCCAGGACCTGCAGGGGCCTACAAGAAGGCTGGGGAGGGACTTTTTACAAGGGCCTGCAGTGACAGGACGAGGGGTGATGGTTGGAAGCTGGGAGAGGGCAGGTTTAGACTAGATATAAGGAAGAAGTTCTTCACCCTGAGGGTGGTGAGACACTGGCACAGGTTGCCTAAGGAAGCTGTGGATGCTGCCGTCCTGGCAGTGTTCAAGACCAGGTTGGATGTAGCCTTGAGGAACTTGGTCTAGTGGGAGGTGTGGCAGGGGGTTGGAACTGGGTGATCTTTGAGGTGCCTTCCAACCCAAACCTGTGGTTCTATGGTTTTCACTGATGGAAGCAGAGGGAGAAATGAAGAATTATCAGAAGGGACAAACACTTTAAGATTTAAAAGGCAAATTCAGAATAATAACCTGACTTTGCTCATTCGTCCACAGAAGCACCCGTGGAATTGCAGACACCAATAAAGTAGGTTAAATCGCTCACAGAGTTAATTTAATGCAGTTGCCGTAGCAATCCCTGGAAGCAAACGTAGCAGCATGTGAGCAGAGTGAAATATATGCCAGTGTCACGCAAGAGCAATAAAAATGGTTTACAGGACACTTCATTCAAATACCCCCAAACAATATGAACAATTTTATAAAGCAGTAGTGACGAGTAAAGCAGAGCAGAGAAAGGTAAAGCAGAACAAGGTCTCGGCCAGGACTTGGGCGCAGGCTGTTTCCGCCAGGCTGCTGGATGACTTCACTTGAACAAACGTGTCTCCCTCACCCTCAGATAAGCTGCAGATAAAGGAAATTCCCTTTGTTGCCTATTCCTTGTATTGCCTTGAGGGAAAATCTGACCCTGAAATAAATTAGATTTATTGTAGTGGGAGAAAAAAAGACCTACGCAGAATGATAAAAGCACCTTCTTTCCTGAGCACATGCTTTGCCACACTAAAGGCTTTTCCAGGCATTTAAGTACATGTTATCACCTTCAGGGAGTCCCAACATTGAGAGATGGAAACTTAAAAGAAAACTAAAACCCTTCTGGAAACTTAGGATGCAGTTTTAGTAAAAATGCTGCAGGAGGGACAGATTTGCACGAGGGCACTAGACGCTCACGATGTATTTGGTGGTACAAATAAGATCAAATAGTTACCCCATTTGGCAGCGTCTCCCCAGCTTTTCCTCTCCTGCCACTTTCAGATGTCCTTCCAAGCTGCCATGAACAACTGCAGTTCATTCTTTGGGAAATTTTTCCCCGTACATGAAGCAAACCTAACCTGCCCTCAGGACATCATCGATGTTCTAACAGTGTTAACACGTGATGACTGCTGCTTCTACCCAAGGGGCTTCAGAGAGAGGCCTTCCAGAGCCCCATTTTCATGAACTGGAACATAAAATATTACACAGCATTATAAATGTGCATTTTATTTTGCAAAACCCAAAAATACACTGCTTTGAGGTCCTGACAAGGGAGTCAGGGAATGATGAAGCAGTACCTAGAGGGAAGGCTGTTTCTCCCTCTTTGCAGCAGGACACAAACCAGAATACACCAGTATTTGTTCTCCTTTAAGCTTCTTGCATTCCTGTTCAGTGAAGAAAAGCACATGGACTTAGATTCTTTATGCTCTAACTCTGGACTTTAACAATAAAATAACTGTTCCTCTGCAGCTTGCTTTTTGTCTGCAGGCAGACCGTGACTATTAGTTCACCCATTGAACTGTTCCAGACTTGGAACAGTTACCTGCTGGGCAGGTTTTTCCTACCCAGGGCTGAACAGGACATTCAGAGCTGCAGAAGGAGTGACCAGCGTGCCTTTGGCAGACAGACGTGTCCTCCGTATCTCTCAGGAAAGGCTGTGCAGGTTTACTGCGCAAGTCGGAGAGCTGTCTGAACACAGCAGCCTCCACAGGAAGAAAAGAACTCAGCCGTGGTGGCCCCAGGCTACAGCATCGCAGCCAGGTGAAGTACGGTGCAGGTATTGCACATATCAAGGGATATATTCCGTACCTGGGTCGCTGCAGAATTCCTCTTCCCGATGCAGCCTCCTAATTAGCTGCAGACCAACGGGCTGTTGATACAGGTGCCTTGGCCACCTGCCAGTTGGTGTATTTGTTCTTTTACCCTCCCCGTATTTGCCCTGCAGTTCAACATTTCTCTCTGCACAACGTGAGCACAGCGCTGATGTGTGGTCTAAAATACCTGAGGCTTTTTTTGTGGGTATAGAAAGACTAGACAGGCCCCTGCACAGAGTATACACTTAATTTGGCTTATCTTTAATTCTTTATTTTGCCTTTAAATGGATTTCTTATTGAACCATCATGGCACGTGTCTTGTGCTCCAAGGTTCTGTTTAGTGGAAGCACTTGTAGGTGGCAGAATTCCTGCCCAGGCCTGGTTGCTCCCCGGAAGCCACAAAAGCTGGTAGGCAGCTCACTCCTGCTTCCTTCAAAGCAGGTCTCCTGGGGAGCCCCAGAGGTTTGGAGGGAGTGAGGGGTGGCAAGTGAAAGAAAGAGAATGGAAGAGGAGACGTGAGCGTCCCCTCGGTGTTAGGGATGCTCATGGAGGAGTTGGCACTAACAAAAGCAACATTGCTTTTGAAAGTTCATCCTGGATAACAGAGGACTTGAATGTTCTAGAAATCACATTTTCATGAATCTGAAAGACCGGAAGATGAAGTGATCGCATCTCTTTTGTTTACTTCTCTCTTTCAGTAGCAATGGAAGGACTAAAGGTATAATCAGGCACTTGTTTCTGTGGTTGCTCACTCCCCAGGTACTCAGGGAAGTTGAATGCTTATCCCTGCCACAAATCCAGCTATGGTTCCTTCAAAATGATCCTTGGTTTTGTAGAAAACAAAACTGTCTCAGACAAGGCATGTTCTCTGTCAGACCCTCTCTTCGACTGTCAGCCCAAAAGGAACTGAGCAAAGAAAGAAACAGTGAAAAAGTTACTCCTGAAAGAAGAATTTTTCTTGAGGGCAATAAGGAAAACAGAGGGGTGGGAACCTGCTTTGTCGAGGTGCACACATACTGTTCACCATTTGGGCTCCTTTCAAGCTCTGTTATCAGTCTACCAATTACTACCTTAATCCCTCTGGATTAAAGCTCCTTTCCTGAGACTACGGGAAGAAAGTCGTCGTGTGACTTCACTGCGGATGCAGCGTCGGCTGCAGCAGGGCCGGGCGCTCCCAGCTCTTTTGTTCCCCTATAGGCAAACCAGGAGGAGGTTTAGGAAGGCTCCTCTCAGCAGGGCGCTGCCTCCTCCAAATCCCACCTTCTGCTTCAGGAAGCAGCGGCCACGGGGAGGGAACCAGCTCCTGTGCGTGAAGGTATTTGGGAAAGAAACAGCCACTGACCAATGGGCGGAACTGCCGTGTTGGCAGAGGGCTTAAGGCTGATAAATTCCACGGGTCTCAGATAACACTTTCTGGAGACAACTCCCATTGTCGAGGCATAAAAGAGGAGGGGTGGGGGAACAGAGCACACACTCCTGCCTCGGGACCTGCGTGAGCTGCAGCTTGGGCCAGGTCCTTGGCGTTTCTTACCATGGCCAGTTACAGCTTCAGGCAAACGACCTCCTCTGTGGCAGGGGGACCTGGCGGCTCCTCCGTCCGCTTCAGTGGAGGTTCCTTTAGGGCTCCAAGCATCCATGGGGGATCTGGCGGCAGGGGGGTGTCAGTCTCTTCTGCTAGGTTTGTCTCTTCTGGCCTAGGAAGTGGCCTGGGTGGGGGGTATGGAAGTAGTTTCAGCAGCAGCTTTAGCGGTGGCTATGGGGGTGGTTTGGGTGGCGGCGACGGCCTCCTCTCGGGAAATGAAAAGGCAACTATGCAAAGCCTGAACGAACGCCTCGCGTCTTACCTGGACAAAGTGCGTGCCCTGGAAGAGGCAAACTCTGACCTTGAAACTAAAATCCGAGACTGGTACCAAAAACAAGGGCCAGGCCCAAGTCGGGACTACAGTCCTTACTACAAGATTATTGAAGACCTTCGAGACAAGGTAGGTGTTAATATTTCTTAAAAATCATCTCAGATTTGCACTTAAGAAGGAAGCATAAAAACCCAAAGAGAAAAAATTCACTAGGGAAACACCCAGAAGGCATTGCGGTTTATGAGAAGGAGAGGAAGAGGAAAAGGATGGGCGATGATTGGGCGGGGTGGATAAAGAAAATGATCAGTAAGGAATTATCTACTTTTCAAATGTTAGCTAAGAGGATGTATAAAACAGTGAGTCTGAGATGCCTTAGTACTTAATTCTCTGATAATGTTTGCTCTTAACAAAGCATATAAATACATACATACACATATAGAGGGTCATACACACCTACCTGACCAGTTAATGTACATATGACCATTATAAACACAAAGAGAGTCAGGCAATGACAGCAGCCTGCCTGTGTTTCTGACTGTTACCTGCCATACAGCTTGAAAAACTTCAGAGGCACATCCACACGGCTTTCACAGTAAAAATAAAAATGGGTTAAGCACAATTCTGTAAATGTGAAGATAGGAGCCTGAGATTGCATCACTGCACATCTATTTTTCTTTCACATTTCGCTTAAGCTTGGAATTGAAATAAGGGTGCTGAAACATTTGGCTTCTGCAGAAAGGAAGCAGCAGACGTGAAGTAATCAACCCCATCTATAAATGCAGGATTTGCCCCAATAGCCCATGGGTACCTGATAACAGATTACTTTGAGATGGCACACACCCCAGAAAACATAGGTACTTACTGATTAAGCTATGTAAATAAATGAAAGAAAACTTGAGGTTTAGTTTTCACAGTTCAGCTTGGAGTTCATGACCGCTCCCACGCTGTTTACTTTCCCCTTGCTTCGATGCGTTCACACTCTCTACCGATTTCAAAAACCGAGCTCCAGTGAAGGCAGAACTGGCAATTAGATTTTCTCCTTTCAGCGTTCTTTTCCCTCCTGTCTTTTACTCCCCTTAGCTAGGGGAGAGACAATCTTGTCCAGATGTTTTTGTGGATGCCTTTGGAGTTTTAAAAGTGGCAGGCAAAAAAAGACATACTTTCTAGGTAAAGATTAACAGGGATTACTTCTAAATAAACACAATTTCCTCTAGAGGCTTTCATGATACATTAGAAGAATCAATAAACACTATCCTGGATATTTTAGGAAATAAAAATGTGCTCAAAGCCTATACAAATGCAATACAAACCCATACTGTTCACAAAACACTGACATGTCCTTTATATTAAAGTCACACAGACCTTGCCATCACTTCCCGCTGTGAAGGAAATGAGTGACGAGAACAAATTCTGCCAAGAGGGGTCTGCAGACTTTGCTCCCTTTGCCTCTCTCAGGAAATAGGTTTCTTGCCTCAGTCCTAAAACATCACCTGCCCCCTGGCTGACCAAAGCCCTCTCCCTCTAAGACAGCACTTAGTTTTGTCTCCCTGTGGGACTTCATGTGCCAGACAAGAGCAAGAGGACCTAGCCACAAGTGACAATCATGGCAAAAGTACTGCGATAAATCTGTGCCATGCATTTCCTACAGACCATTGATACTTCCATTTGGTGCAGCTACAGATCAGGAAAGAAGATAACGTAGTTGTTTCAGCCCCAGCAATGAGCTCTCATTGTTTGTAGATCCTTGATGCCACTATCGACAACTCGAAGATTGTCTTGCAGATTGACAATGCCAGGCTGGCTGCTGACGACTTCAAAACCAAGTGAGTAATTTCTGAAAGGAAAAAGCTCTCTTGAGCAGGCAAAATCCCTGTTGAGCCAAAGGGACTGGCTGGGAAAAAAGAAAGGGACGCCTATAAAACCTCTGTGTGAACACTAGTTTGATCCTGTCGTTGTAGTTCAGCCCTTTATGTATCTGCTGAAAGTACCATCTGCACCACAGACAATTGTATATCATGTAAAAAACGTGGAGAAAAGTTTAACGCTGGACAACATTTGCTACATCACGAATCCTACAAAACCAGATACATTTATAGCAAATAGTGTGTTTCACGGCGGGCTGGCTTAATCAGCTAACCTGACCCGTTCTGCTTGCTTTTTTAAGGTTTGACACAGAGCAGGCTCTTCGCATGAGCGTGGAGGCTGACATCAACGGCCTGCGCAGGGTCCTGGATGAGCTGACCCTGGCTAGAACAGACCTGGAGCTGCAGATTGAAAACTTAAAGGAGGAGCTGGCCTACCTGAAGAAAAACCATGAGGAGGTAAAACAACACTGAGAAACACATCTGAAAGCGCCATTAGAAACAGAGCGTGTGGAAATGCAGAGTGCCTCGGGACTGCCCTGGGCTCTCCAACAGTGAGGAGCAGATTCTGTGGAGACTGGGAAACTAAAGATACCCCCTGCACGTGTTTCAGGGGAGTCAGTCAGAGTTAGCCCCTGAAGAAAGAATGGAAGGTTCGTGATGTTTTCAGTTTGTGATCGTACCCTCTTTTGTCTTCCTCTGCCCTGTCCACACAGGAAGTGAGTGCCCTGGGAGGGCAAGTAGCCGGCCAGGTCAATGTTGAACTGGACTCTGCTCCAGGCATTGACCTGTCCAAGATTCTGGCTGATATGAGAGACCAGTATGAACACATGGCTGAGAAGAACAGGAAGGATGTTGAGGCCTGGTTCCACAACAAGGTAGAAAAAACTCCAAACGGTACAAATACTAACCAAAAAAAATGCATGAAAGGAAGAAAACAATGACTAAAACACACAGCAAGCTGCTGTGAAAGCCTTATGACCTCTCCTCAGAGGCCCCATATTTGTCCTGTAATGTTTTCCGTTTCAGACTGAAGAGCTGAACCGTGAAGTAGCTGTCAATACTGAGCAACTGCAGAGCAGCAAGTCCGAAGTCACTGACCTGAGACGCAGCCTCCAAGGGCTGGAAATAGAACTGCAGTCCCAGATCAGCATGGTATGTTAACATTTGCACTGCATGACCCCCCCTGCCCCGCAAAATGGGCACGTATCCCCCTCCCCACAAAGAGTCTTGCATCTGGCAGCAACCTTTTCGTGGTTTCCCCTCCAACCTCTCTGCTCGCAGAAAGCCGCGCTGGAGAACACCTTGGCAGACACGGAAGGGCGCTACGGTGCCCAGCTGGCGCAGATCCAGGGCCTGATCAGCAGCGTCGAGGCGCAGCTGGCGGAGCTCCGAGCTGACCTCGAGCGTCAGAACAGCGAATACAAGATCCTCATGGGTATCAAGACTCAGCTGGAGCAAGAGATCGCTACTTACCGACAGCTCCTGGAAGGCCAGGAGTCCCAGTAAGTAACGCTGCTCACTGCAGAAACCCCTTGTGCTCGGCCCCATAAAGTCTGACCGTGCCGCAGTGCTCATTGCCACAGCACCACAGTGAACACAACTTCAAATACTCCTGAGGTTCTAAAATTTTTAACAAATCCCTTTTTCTGGACCGTGGCAGAGCTAGAAAATTTACGATTCCGATTTACATTAAGTGAGCACCTCAGCGTTTCTGAACAAGAAGGCAAACTGACAAGCAGTGCAGGAGGTTAAATGTAACTAACCCTTAGTTGCTCACATCCAGGAAACACGGCGTAGTTAGCAACGTTTACAGAATATAAGGATTAACACCAAATTCCCATAAACTTCCTGTTACCAGTTAAACAGCTCTTGCCTCAGAGGAATCAGAGTAGAAGAAAATATTCTGAAGAGAAGTGAAGGCAGACAAGCTGGCTGTTTTCAGACAGCCATTGAGTGGAGCTCCCACATGGGAGCACAGCTGTCTGTCATTTCACATAGAGCCTCAGGGAGGAAAAAATCCCGTTGCCTCGAACAAAAAAAATGAGGTAGAAGTTGAAAGGTTTTGATTTCCTCTATTCCTTCTTTCCATAATTGTCTTTTCCCACTGCAATTGTTTAAATACACATTTCCCACAAAAATTCCCTCTCCTGAGCTGAGAGGGAGAGCAAGGAGATGACCACCTCTTCTCTGACTATACACAAAATGTACCTGGTTGATAGAGAATTTGCTTTCATACATCTCATCTCATGCAGCATTTGATGTGTTACCTCTCCTTTCAACTGCTCTCTCTTTGTTCTGCAGGATGTTTGGCTCCCTTTCCGGAACCGCGGGTAAGAATTCCTTCTCTTTCAGGAAACCTTTAGGAGTCGAAGAAGTTTTATTTTCTAGAAGGAAATACACATCTGTCATGGTAGTTGTGTCCGTTCTGGAGACTGGGCTGCTCCACTGATTTGTGTCACAGAAAAAATCTGATAAGTAACAAATGATGACTCTGGCTAGAAATTAACAAATTTCAGTCATTAAAAGATGTTCGACATCAGAAAGAAATCTCAGACTCTGCTACAGTAAAGGCTAAGTAAAGTTCAAAATGCTTAGTCATTCCCCCAAATGAAAGGATATAAGAAATTTAAGCTTGGTGGAATTGTTTGAACATGCAAGGAAAACTTGCCTTGAGCTTTTAAAGGTCAGCTGTACTGTAAAAGTGATGTATGATACAAGTCAATGCTACGAAGAAAACTTCTGAGAAAAGAGAATTGGAGACAAGACATAGAGCAAGCTCCGTGCCCACTGCAGAGCAGTCCCGTGTGTTATGCTTAAGTAATCGCTGTTCTTTCTCTCCGTATTATTGCAGACAAAAGAGACAAGCTGGCAGATGGAAAATAGTACTGCAAGTCCTCCAAATGTCCTCTTCAAAATGAGAAAAAGCAGACAACACACAGGAATTGAAACGGAGAGGAATCACTCTAAACTGCTGGAAATTACTATCCTAAAGCACAGAAAATTCTTGGGCACGCAAAGTTTAGGTAGATTCATCCATTTAGTGGTGAATAATTTGTGAATTGGGTTAGCTTTTCAATTACTTCGAGTTCTTTCGTGTACTGAATTGCTGTATCTACTCTAATAAAAATGATCTTCTTGCAGTCTCAACTTCTTTTGAGTTACTGTGGTATTGTTACTGAAGTTTGGCTTTAATCGGGCAGGAGATAGCTAGCCAGCCTCCCCACAGGTCCCTGCTCACTGAGCTGCTGGGTGCCTGGGGCTCTCCATCTCAGATGCCTTCTAGCTCCTCTCGCTGGCAGGAGCTCTGAACATGGAGGCAATGGCATCCTCAGCCCCTCAGAGTGGGGAATACAAAAGTGCCATGTTTCTAAGTACAATGGCTGTGCACTCTGAAGAGCAGTAGCAGTGAGATCTTAAGTGATTCTGGAAAGAAGCAAGAGCTGGGAGATATTTTGTCAGGGTGAACCATACAGCTGTTAAAATGGCTTGAAGGTAACTCCCTCAGGAACAAACAGGAGTGAGAAACAGCGGTGAGATTTCTTCACTCCCTTTCCCAGTTCATAGACCTAACAAACCTTTAGCACCAATCTTAGCCATCTTCACTCTCATGCCATTGAAAGGACATCACCCCAGCCGAAATCCCAAATGTCATTGCTTTTAGGTCAGGCCCCCAGAAATCAGTAATTTCATTTCCAACCATCTCTCTGCAAGCTTACAGCCAAGGAAACTTCTCAGGGCTTGTGCTAAAAGAAAATCATGGCTAGAGCCTGTCCCGTTCCCACCTCCCACTATTACAACAGGCACACAGCTCGTCAGCTCAGGGGGAAGTTGAACCAACAGCGTGCCCAGACTGGAAGCACCCCACCACTGCACTCCCCCAGAGCACATCATCCTGCAGCCTGTGTTTCAGGGAGGCATCATCAAATCCTTCAGCACTTCTCTCCTTGGACTGGGGAGGGAACAATTAGTTCACAACTAGATGCTCATAGCAGATCAACGGAGCGTTTGCAGAGCAGGGAGCACCCCAAAGCTACGGACCTCCTCTGTCGAGGCTGGGCAACCCTCTTCACTCAAGAGGTGCTGGTGCTCGCTTGTGGTT